CGATCTTGCAAGAAAATCAATTTTGTCATCAATTGGATCAACTAGTTTTGGTACTTATGCTTAACAAACACACGATGGACACAAAAAAAATTATCACAAAATTAAAGCTAAGTATTAATACTAGATAGACACAAACACATTATTGAAAACAATTGTACTTGAACTTAAGAAATTTAGAAGCACCAACCTTATCTCCAACTTTGATGAAAGAAGCAATATAGTCTTGTATCAACTTTTTTAGATGTTGAGCTTTCTCAGTTACCTAGCACGAAAAGTTCTTAAATTAGTTAAATATAAATTTCAAATCCAAGAATATTAGTTATATATATATATATATATATATATTCAAGTTTTAATAAGTTCAAGTTTCAATTCAAGTTCATATCTAATTTCTAAACTTAATTAGTTATATACTCAAGCTAATTAGTTCCAAGTTCAAGTTCGTTCATATTCCTAATTAAGTTCAATTTACAGTAAATTCAAGTTATAATTAATTATAAGTTCTAATTAAGTTGTAATTCAAATCCCTAAAATTCCAAATTCAAACTAGCTAGCTAGTGTCCCAAATTCAAACTATTAATTAGTCCTAAAATATCAAATATAATTCAAACTATTAGTCCTAAATTCCAAATTCAAACTAGTCTTAAAATTTCAAATTGAAAGTACTCATAGAATTCAAAAATCAAACTATAGTGCTAAAATCCCAAATTCAAACTATTTGTAGTCCTAAAATCTCAATAATAATTCAAACTAGTCCTAAATTCAAAATTCAAACTAGTCTTAAAATCACAAATTCAAACTAGTCCTAAAATCCCAAAATCTAACTAGTGCTAAAATCCTAAATTCAAACTAGCTAGCTATTCCTAATCCCAAATTCAAACTATTAGTCTTAAGATACCCTAATTCAAACTAACCCTAACATTAAAATTTCAATTCACAATCTAACAAACACAAACTAACAATCAAATAATCCCTAATTCAAACTAACAATCAAAAACCCTAAATCATTCACTTACTAACTAACAATCAATCAATTAAAAACTAATTCAATACACTAATTAACAAATTCAATACTCAAATTGAAAGAAATTAAAAATAATATTATGAAACCCTAACCTTGAATTGAAGGAGAAGGGCAGTGGTTCGGGGTTAGTTGCCTAGCACGAAAAGAAACAAATGTTAATCGGAGGCGGCGCCGGTTGGGATGGAGGCGGCGTGACCTCCTGCTGCTGGTGCGACTTACCTCTGCTGCTGTGCGCGACCTACCTCTACTGCTACGATTATGGCGTGGCGCCGGTCGGGGATGGGCGCCGATGGGGGTGGGCGCCGATGAGAGAGGAGTGAGACTTGACTTAGGGTTTGATATTATCATTATTTTTTTAAGAGAATTGTTTAATTTATCGATCATGGGATGTCGGTATTTTTAAAATAATTATCTATATTTAAAAATGTTTAATAAATACCGACATCGTGAAGTCGATATTATTTAAATAAAATAATAATTTAAATATACCGACTTCTTTAGGTCGGTATTTATTAATTTATTTTAATATAAACTCACCTCTTGAGGTTGATTTTATTAATTCAAATTTTATATATATATATATATATATATATATATATATATATATATATATATATATATAAAATTTAACTACACATCAACAGAAGTTTAGTTTAATAAATTTAATTTATCGATCAAGTTAATTTTATAAATTTAAATTATATACCTTTTAATTATATAAATTTAATTTTATTGATCAACAAAAGTTTATCAATATCAAATTTAATATATAAATCTCCTTGAATTGATCATCGGTATTTCTTTAATTGATAATGTATTTCATATCTGAACCACTAATATATAAGACTTGATTTGTTAAACTACTCGAGGAGTATATAATTAATCAACGTATTTCATACTCCGATGAAGTATCCTTTACACGTCATCATAATTAGGAGGTGATCACTACACTTGACATCCATTCAAGATCGAACGTATATAATAATACTATCTCGCATTTCATACTCGAATGGATTATATGTTAGCTCTTCACCTCTACATCTTGACAGGAGATATTAAGTTCATGATTAGACGACATACCGATATAATTTATACATTACTCTAGAAATATAAGTATAATCATCTCCTAATTCATATCAACGTAGTTTCATACTCTAAATATGGATTATAGATATTTTTTTATTTATTCCACGAATTCTAACTTTTTATTCATAAAAGTATACAAAATTGTTACACTTTTTGAACAATTAATTGTAGGTGTAAATGAAATTTTAGTATTATGCACAATAGCAAAATTATGATTAATAGGAATATTTTAAACTAACCGACCTCCGATGTCGCTTTTATTAAAAGTAATTAGATTTAATAAAAAGTACCGACCTTATGAGGTCGGTATCACATTAAATTTTAAGATAAATAAAATATAATCATGTTAATTAAATAATATTGACATCGGGAGGTCGGTATTTTATATTAAATTATTTTTAACTTATATGAAGCCGTCATTCGGAGGACGATTTATTTAAAGTTAATTGAAAATATTAATTTATTACATACTATTTAATTTTACCGACATCCGGATGTTGGTATTATAATTTTTTTTTGTTTTTTATTTTACACAAAACCGTCCTCTGAAAGACGATTTAAATAAAATTAAATCAAAATATTTCTCAAAGCGACGGACAGTGTCTCTATGTCCGTCGCTTTTTTTGAAAAAAGTTTTACCAACATTTTGACCAAAAAGCGACGGACTAAGAGACACTGTCCGTTGCTTTTTAAACATATTTGACCAGATATTTTGACCAAGAAGCGACGGACATAAAGATGTTGTCCGTCGCTAATTTAAAAAATAATAAAACAATTAAAATTAATAAAAAGCGACGGACGGTGTGACTTTTTTTAAATTAATAAATAATTATTTTTAATAAAAAGCGACGGACTACGTCGCTATCTATATAAAATAATTAATTATTCATTATATATATATATATATATATATATATATATATATTTGCGCAAAAATCCGCGAAAAAAGCGACGGACTAAGCGATGCCATCCGTCGCTTTTAAAAAAATAACTTTTTTTAATCAAAAAGCGACGGACAGTGTGGCTAGTGTCATTGCTTTTTGGAGCGACGCCGTCCATCGCTTTTACTTCCGTCGTTTTTTAGCAGTTTTTTAGTAGTGACTCTCAACCATGTTTATGTCGGTAATCACCGCCACAAAAGGTTCTTCGGTAACGTTTGCCTGAGGGTTAGGACTACGTTTCAAGAATCTGAAAAATCGAACAATATGCCCACTCTTGCCACAAACAAATCATGGTCCCTTATCTTGAACTTGCTGATTTTGTGCTTGGTTATTTTCACCATTATTTTTCTTGGGAGGTCTACCATTATTTTTCTTGATATTTTTCTTATTAGGCTTCAAAGAAGCATTTTTGTGAAATTCAGGAGTAGCATTATTTGACGTAATTAAATTTACCTTCGTTGTGACGTTGCTCTCTTCTGTTTGTAAAAGTGCATCTTGGCCCCTTGCCTTTTCTTTCATGCAAATTTTCATTATCAAGGTTGAGGTTTCCTTTTGTTTGTGGCGCATAGTTTTTTGAAATTCCTTCCAAGAAGGTGGAAGTTTATCCACTATGCCACAAACAATAATGTTATCTCCAATTTTAACCTCCTCGGACCTAAGCTCTCCTACAATCATTATAAAGTCTGAGCTTGGTCTACCACTGATTTATTGTCCACCATTTGGAAACGAAAAAATCTACTAGCCGCATACTTTTTTCGCTCCCAGCTCTTCGGTATCATACTTACTCTACAATGCTTTTCAAATTTTCTTTGCACTAGAGTAAGTTCTGTCATATAATAATCATAAAAATTATCAGATAAACAATTAAGAAGATCGACACTTATAGGAATCACCATTGTACTTTTCCACTTTCTCATGATGAGAAATAAGTTCATCATCATCCATGGAGGTATCATCAACATTAATAGGATTCTTCTCAGTTAACACATAAGAAACATTGAGAAGACTTAAGTAGAAAAGTACTTTACCCTTCCATCTCTTGAAATGGTTACCATTGAACCGAAATGGCTTGTTAAGGTCTTCCATCTTGACATCCGCAGTTTTTTCAGTTGTAGCCATTATGAATTTCCTTAAAATTGTTAGTGAAAAATTACAAGATAATAAAATTGCACGATTACAATTGAAAATAAAAATGAAGAAATAAATTTCTTCAGGCTGAGGTGCGGATATCTCGCTCTCTTTAAGGAGATTCAAGCCCACTGCAACAAATGTTTTTCACCGGTCTAGCAGTAGTCCTTCTTGAGTTGTCTTCTCTAGGATACAACAGCCTTAACACAAAGTATAACTCAACAACTCTGGACAAGAGTTGAGTTCAAAGATCCACAAAAAGAACACCTCCCTTCAACTAATAAGAACTCTCTTTTTTGACTAACTTTTTCCTCTCTATATTTTTCTTGTGTGGTGTGTAACAAACCAAATGAAGACCACCACTATTTATAGTAGAAGAAGTCTTCCTAGGAATAAATAGGAAGATAACGAAGTGGTAAATAGTGAAGATAAATGGCCTTAGGAATTATATATGTTACATAGGTTACAAAGAATAATGGAGGAATAAAAAATGAGATAATGGAGAAATAATATAGAGAAGTAATGACCAAGATGCCACTACCGATGCTGCAAGAAATGGTCATAACATCAGCACTTACTCCGAATGAAGTAATGCTCCAAATAAGTGTCCAATTGGTAAGACAAAAGAATTATCCACCAACGGACAACTTACAGCAAATGCAATACTTTGACTCCAAACATTTAATTTCAAGCAAATTAATATACAAAAATATTAATATTAAAATGCTGACCAACACATACTCAAACTAAACAATTGATTTCTAACTTTAAGTACATAGAGCTAGAAACATATATAAAATGTGTATCATCTAGCCAATAACCTGAACAAAGTAATCATGGAAATGAAGTCGGATGAGGGATGCATACATACAGCGTTCACGTGAAACTGTGCTGTAGAATGTGGAAGAAAGTTGTGCATGGGATTGCATACTAGAGAGTAGTAGAAGAAAGAATATAGCAACAAAAGAGTTGTTTGAAATACTCATTTTGAAAATGAAAAGTATGATATGAAGAATTATAGATGCTTATTAGCTTTGTGATGTGTTGAGGGAATAATGTGTCACTCAAATATTTATAGGCATAAAAACACGTTATTTTAAAGCTCTTTGGTCACTATTGGCCGGCTGCCAATTGCATATCCGCGTTATTGCTATTTTGTCTTGCTATGAGTTGTTCTAATAGCTTCTTATTGTGTCTCGTAATTATGAGTTGGACGGTATTCAATAACTTTAATTCAAATTTAGAGGTGTTAAATGAGCAAATAAGCTAAATTTAAATGGATTAATATGGTTTGAGTTAATAAATGGTAAGTCAAGTTATTTGAATTGAAATAAGGTGGACGAAACTGAGCTAAAAAATAAATCATAAGCTGGTCATACAAATTTTCCAAGTTTTAGTTTCTTTATTCATTCTTTTATAATTTTTTTAAATATCTAATAAAACTATTTTTTCTGTATTGTGACTATATAATATAGTAGGAGTATATAAAATAACAAGTATATTTTTTCTGGTAAATCTTTTCAATATGGGTCAATTTGAGCTATTCAAATAACATACATTTGGGAATTATGTTGAAAGTCAAAGGTCAACTGGCTATATAGTTATAATAATAGAATGAATTATAATTGAACTTTGATAAGAAGCAGTAGTGAAGCACCAGTTAGCAAGCATACGTAGAATATTAATTATACATAGAATTAAAATCTCATTACAATTTACTTTCGCTTTAATTTTTATTATTATACGCTCAAGAATAATTTCAAATAAGATCCAATAAACTTCAAATAAATATATATATTTTATACTTAATTTTCATTTATTACAGGAATGTGACAGAAGTATCCCTCTAGAGTATAATCGAAATTTCAGAGACACACCTTACCTAAACTAATTCAGTATAGGAAGTGATTCCCTCCGGAAGGGGCCTACACAACGTGAATTCGGATAAAGTTAGACTCCAATAAATGTACCGAACATTAGGTGAAAACTAAAAAAATAAAACTTTCGTCTATAACATTTATTATTTTTATTAATTTTTCAATTTCTAAAATTATCAACTTTATTTTGAGAAGTACACCGCCCTACAAAAATACATGTCTACTAAGGTATTGAAGTTATAAAAAGAAGTATTGTGTTTGGACATGAATTTCAGGTTGAAAAAAAGTAGAGGTTGAAGGTTTTAAAACAGAACTTGAAATACTCCTCGATTAAATTTATTTTTGACGTTATAGGTATCGAATTTTTTTGATCTCTTTGTGTGTTAACTTCTTTTTATATAGAATCTTCTTAACGAAAATTGAGACTCCCGGCCCGCCGCTATGATTTCATACATTTAGATTAGTGGGTACGTAGAAAGTGGATGCAGGTGACTTATGTATAACACCACACTATAAAAGTTGGACTTTGGAATGGTTAATTAAACAGAACGGATATCTAGCATCTAATAGTTTATTGTCAAAATAATTATTATTTGTCAAATGTGAGTATTGTAATTATTTATATAGTCATACATCATCAAGTCTTTGACATTGCCCTTCCGTTCCAATGATTTGATGATATCTAATTTGTAGGATAAAATGATGAAATGTCAAAATCAATAGTCAATAGCATTAAAGTATTACTTTTGGAGAACATTTCGTTTTCCATGGTCCATAAAATCTATTACGAAAGAGATAGTCATTTTAATTTGTTTTAATAATGATAACTACAATATTTGCCGTTTAATAATGTTTTTAAATTATTTTAACAAGTTATCAATAACTGTAACTATATCTCTCTGTTGACTTCATTTTAGAAAACTTTATAACATCAGTTGAAATTATGGTAGGGTAAAATTTTAAAAATACAATGATATAAATTTTAATTCACCGATTACAGTAGTTGAATAACTACCCACAATTTCATTGCACATTTATAGTCGAAAACATTCTAATAGTGTGTTATTGAAAGAATAAATGAAGAACATTATAGAAAATTTTCTTCTTGTATTTCTGAATGAATAAAACTGTACAATTTGGTTGCATTTATACAAGTAAGATGGCATCTAATGGTAGCCCCTAAAAGAAATTCTCAAGATCAAAAGGAAAGAATATCAAAAAAATATTTACATGACAAAATTAGAAAAGGAAAAAGAATATCTCCATAGCTCCTATGTATGTGCAGAATATATGAAAATAAATCCAACACCCTCCCTCAAGTTGGAGGGGAGGAAGAAACCCCCAACTTGCCTAAAAGTTTATGATGAATGAGGCCGGTCAAGGACTTGGTAAAGATGTCAGCTAGCTGTGAAGAAGACCCCACATAAGATAAAGAAATTAAGCCAGCGAGATACTGTTGACAGACAAAGTGACAATCAATCTCGACATGCTTTGTCTGTTCATGGAAGACTGTATTTTTTGCGATGTGAATCGCAACAAGACTGTCAGAGTGAAGAGGTACTGGCAAGGAGATCACACTGAAAGATCATCAAATAGGCGAACCAACCAAACAAGCTCGACTACAACTCTCCTCATAGATCTATACTCAACTTCAGCAAAACTAAGAGATATTGATGTTTGTTTCTTAGATTTCCATGAAATAGGAGAAGACCCGAGAGAAATATAAAATCCACTCATTGATCTTCGTGAATCTGGACAAGTACCCAATCGGAGTCACAAAAGGCCATCAATTTGAAAGAAGAAGATACAAACATAAATAGACCAAGACCAGGATCTTTGAGAAAATAACGAAGAATCCGTAAAGTAGCTGCAAGATGAGGTTCACGAGGATCTTGCATATAGTGACTGAGATGTTGCACTGTAAAGGACAGGACTTGTATGTGTGAGATAATTGAGCTTACCTAACAAACGCATGTATAAAGTAGGATCTTTTATGGGAATCCCCTAATTTGCTAGTAACTTGACATCAGGATCCAAAGGTGAAGAAAAAGGAGATAAATGTAGAGAATCAAACTCTTGTAGTAAGTCCAATGTGAATTTCCTTTGGGAAATAATCATACCAGTAGGTTCTCTCACAATGTAACGACCCTAAAAGTGAATAAGTGAAACTAGAGCCTATGGACTTTGTGTTGGGTTTCTAATGAGGTTTCATGTTGTGTAATTTTGTCCCGAGTCTTGTTTGATGGAGTTTAGTGAGTCAACGTCAAGGTACGTGATAGACTCCGTAGTGGAAAGACCCTTTTTAATGTTGGTTAAGGGTTGGAAGGGAAAGTGCCAAGCCAATGGGGGGAAGGCCTAAGCCAAAAGCCAAGGCTGCCTAACCTTGGCCAAGCACTGTCCCAAGTCCACGTACCACTTCACGGTCAGTGGACTTGACCACGGTCCGTAGAAGTGGCCGTGAAGGTCACTTGGTGGCATGGGAAGCAAGGCACTTTGGCCAAGCTACTGCCCCAACTTCACAGACCACTCCACGGTCAGTGGTCTTTACCACGGACCGTAGAAGTGGCCGTGAAGATACCTTAGCATCTTGGGGTTGGCAAGGCAAAGGAGACACTGCCCAAGAGGACCACAAACACCACCATGGGCTGTGGTCCGCTTTCACGGTCCGTAGAAGTGGACTTGGTCCCTGACAGGGCTGCCTAAGTGAGAGGTTTTTAAGTAATTTTGTTTTAATATTTTATTATGTGGGTTGATTTTAAATGGTTTAAACCATAAATATAAATAGTTTCAAGTCTTAAAACACTTCATTTTTACTCTTTTATTCAAAACATCCAAATAAAAAACCCCAAAGTTCTTCTTCTTTCAATAGTTCTCTCTCTAACTCAAGAAAGAAGAAGAAGTGGGAGCTAGGGTTTGGATTCAAGGCGTTTATTCATCAAATTTCTTGGGGAATCTTCGTAAAGGTATGGTGATCCTTCATCTCGGGTTAGTTTTCACCCTAGAGTAAATTTCAAAGAAGTTTTCAAAGTTCATGAAAAACCAAGGGTTTTACTCAATCTCATGAGTTCTTTCTCCAAACGATTTCAAATGGTTTCTAATGTCATATATTGTTTGTATTGATATTTAATTGGTGATTTATGATGAAAATTTTCCATGAACCCATGATTTCTCTCAATTCCTAATTTATGCCTTTATAAAGTGGGTTTGTTGATTATGAAGGCTTATGATTGAAATATGTCTAAACTGCTTTGGGCTATTGAATTGTATCATTATTTATGCCTTAATTATGGTAAATTGTTGGTGTATTGATGATTTGAGATTTATGGCCTTGAAGACAAGTTTTGACTAAATTACATGTTGAAGTAGAATTGTGCTAGAGATGTTGATCCACTTGAAAGGTAGAGGTGTTTACTTACTAAGTATATGAATTTTTATTCAATGAGGTTGAGGGAATCATGTCTTGAAGGTAATTGTGTTATTATTGAAAGGCTAATTCACAATTTGACACTCATGTATAATGATGATGTAATGTGAAGTGTTGTCTTTGTCTTCTATATATTGTATATCTTGGATTGGTAGGCTTAGGCATCCTTTCTTGGGTAATGAATGTGTCTTGACTTGATGAATATGAATCGATAGGCTATGGCATTCCTTTCATAAATGAGTGATGAATGTGTCTTAACTTGATAGCTATGAATTGATAGGCTTTAGGCATTCTTTTCATAAATGATCTAATGTAATGAAGACTCTAGAATCAATAAGCTAGTGTCATTCCTTTCTTAATGAGTCAATGTACCATGAATCGATAGGCCAGTGGCATTCCTTTCATGAGTACAACAACAACAACAACAACCCAGTGAAATCCCACTTGGTGGGGTCTGGGGAGGGTAAATAGTACGCAGACCTTGCCACTACCTCGTGGAGGTAGAGAGGCTGTTTCCAAGAGACCCTCAGCTCAAGAACATTCCTTTCATGAGTATAAGAATAAAATGAGGGGCCATGAATCGATAGGCTAGTGGTATTCTTTTCATGAGGACCCTAAAGCTATCATTGAATGTACCATGGATCGATAGGCTTATAGCATTCCTTCCTTGGTAATAATGTATCAT